AGTTAGTCTGACAAAATCTTTTAGAAAATCACATTTTGCCACATACATAAGTGCAAAATAAAACACCCGTTCTTTCCTGTGTTTCCCAATATAAGCCATATCTTCTAACTTCACCGGATATGGCAGACAGGCCATTCCTGATATAAAAGATTTGATTTCTTCCTGTCTGTCTGTTCACTGCAGGTTTCTGCCAGACAGTTCCAGTATCCACCCAGGCAGCAGTGGGACCTTGTTTGAAGGTCATGTCAGCACCGGGGCATAAACGTTAGACCTTTCTGTGGTCAGGGTAAATGTACAAGGCTGCCCTGTGGGAGCGCTCCTTCCCCCTCTTTAATCGGCACATAACAGGCCCTTGTAGAGCCAAACTGTCTGCGACACATCAGCACTTAGAAATAAAAACCCCTCAGCCAACCCTGCGTCGGCTGCGGTTGGACTATGGTAGCTGGATCATTTCAGAGGGACAACACAGACAGGTCTGCTAACTGAAGGGAAACAGGAAAGGGAATCCACTGTAAGATGGAGCTCATATGTATTATTTCTGTATTTTAAAACCTTTTAAATAGGGAATAGTTACTTATTTATTAACCCCCAGATAAAATAGACATTATGGCATAGCTCAACTGACATTGTTGACTCAGTGGCACAGTGTAAGTGTGTTGTCTGTTAGCACTACAGTAAATTAACCTAGTTTGTTCTGTACAATTCCAGCGTTCAGTTCTTTGCAAATGAGTTTCGAGCATTGTGCATAAATAACATTAGATTACAGTTTTAGCTCTTTGATTTGAAACTTTTCTCTTTTAAATGGACCATGTAAGATCAGAATAATATAGCTATTATTTAAGATTATAAAGCCCTTTTATGAGTTTGTTTGATTTTTCTTTCTCTGCGATGTAGATCACATGTCTGAACATTTTAAAAACTGTTCCTTGACTATTTTTAGTTAATGCCCCAGTATTCAGCTCTGCCCAGCATTTCCTGTATACTCTGTAAATAACGTCTACAAAGTTAATGAGACAAAACAGAGAATATACAGCTATCTCTCTGTCAGTGAAGTCAATGATTTGAAGGAGCCGAGAAAGCAAACTTAACAGTTCTAATGCTCCAGCCAAGAAACTTAATTTACCAATTTGCAGGAAGACAAGATGGCAGGAAACAAGCCAATTTGCCACGTGTGCAGCACACAACAAACCCCAGCCTTGCTCCCCAGCCTCATGAGAGGTAATTATCCCTAAAAAAGAATGCCATGCTGTATTAAGATGTAGCCGCATCAAAACGAGGGAGACAGCCTCATTACAAGTAATTATGAGGGAATTAGAAACATCATTTAACTAAACGAGCAAATAATGTACAGGATATTGAAGAAGCTGCCTGCACTTCTGCCGACCGCTGCAAGTCCCATTACAAAAATTGTAGGTCTTTAATAGAATAATGACATGCTTTATCTTCCCTGACTCTCTCTGAGAGGGTCTTGGAGCAGAGGGAAGGGCTGAGGGAGAGCGGGGAGGATGTGAAAACAACTGTTGCAGAGCTTTCTGTCCTCCGTGTGGGCTCACTGTTGAGTGTGTAGCATAAGGCCTTCTGGATAATCCCCCTATTATCCTTACAAATACAAAATGGAGAGCAGAAAATTGTATCTCACATCCATTACTGTGTCAAAGGTAATGCTAATGGACTTATCTGTAGAGTAATAGCTGAGTTCTCACGTACTGCAGCCTATAATAGTTTGATGCATATTGGACAGCCAATGGCACTTCACAACAGGCAGTTCAAGGAATGGTTGGTAATTTAACAATGAAGCATAATGCATTTCACCATTAAAGCTCCAATCCAGATTTCTGGTTAAATATTGTTCTTGGGGAGTTTAACTTGGCGATGGAAAGGCTTTCATTGTGGTTCAAATAAGAGAGCCGCTTGTGTTTGACCTTGACTTATAAACATCTCAAAATATGTCACATTGCTACTGTCAGTCACATTATCATGAGTTTAAGCAAACCTATTCTAAGACCGAAACCTATCCGTTGCTCTCAGTTTAACCAAACCTGTTTTTCTGCAGAGATTAGAGTTTTTATGCCTGTTTTACTAACCATCTGCACTGGGATTTTGGGAGTGCCTTCAAAGTACCTCATATAATTTCCAAAGCTTTGATTTGACCATATTTTACTAATCACACTTTATCCATATGCTGCATTGCCTTTTCCCTTTCCCTTGTACGGTAGCATATTCCACTCCTGTTAAGGAGAAGGGGTAGGGGCTGGGCAGGAGGGACAAACACAATTTCCCTTCAGCTCCTTCATTTCCAGTTGATATAAAACAGAATCATGAAAAATCACTTCTGGTCCAAGCTCTCCTTTTTAACCATTAACCCATAAATACAGAAGCTGGTTAAAGCCAGCGGATGACAGGGCCAGCCTCAAAAACCTTGTTACACTCCCTTCAAATTCATTTAGGGAGCAAACAGGTCTTGAGAGTTGCCTGGCTTAATGCATTGCGATCGCTTTTAAAACTCTTGTCTTGAGGCAGACCCGAGGCTCTGCATCTGCTCGTGGTGTTATACTTCATAACCTTCCACTCTAATATGAAACCACACGTACCCTCTTTAAATCGAATGGCTGTAAATACAGTATGTTGGGAGGTAGTTGAAAAGCCCTCATCCAAATAACTGATAAAGGAATGGAATATGTTTAACAGCAAGTTCTTTAAATATTAGAAGAGAGCATTTTAAATAAATAAATAAATAAAAAAAAAACAAAGGTGATAGATAATGTTGCAGCCTGTTTAATTTAATGGGGTCTCTATTAGGTTAGTTGTGATCTACATTTTATTTCAAGATATAAAGAGGTGATATCTGGAGGCTTACTATAATTCATTATGATTCTGTAAATATGCTCTAAAAACTATCAGGAGAATCAATTTCCTCAGCGCATGCTGTCTTTGCCTCTCCCTCTCCACACTGTGTGCAGCCCACAGTTTCCATTACTCTCATCATAAATTATACCACAGACTGAATTACACTTGCTTTTCACCTTACCAGGCAGGTTTGATGAATCCTAAGGCACAACACATCATCTCAACAAATCTTCATCACCATGCCAGTCGCTGTCTCTTTGCAGTTTAAACCACTTCAAATCATTTTCATTGCCCTGCTATTAAAATTTGTAATTCACACCTGCCATTGCAGTGATACATAGTTACATCAACCCCCCTCCTGCACCTCCCACCTATCTCTCTCTTTCACTTTCTCTCTTTGGCTCTTATTCTCTTCTTTGCTCGTTACTGCATCACCCCCACCCCCACCCCCCCATCTTGTAACTCGAACAACCTCAGGTTCATGCAGATTTCGCACAAGCCACTGAGGTGCAAACATCCATCCAAAAGAGCGGCGCATTACCGTCACACCTGATGACATAATGACCACTTGGAAGCTAATAAACAGCTTCATTCAACCAAAGCTATTGCTCCTTTTCATAACCGTTACGGTCCCCCATCCCTCTCTCTATCTCTCTTTTCTCTCCCTCTCCTATCTGTCACAAATTCATCCTCCTGCACCTCACCTCTTCGCTGGCGCTGGAGTTACCCATTAATCACTGCTGTTGTCTAACGCTATCCATTTCCCCAGAAACACAGGGCGGCTGTTGCAGAAATTGGGTCAGGCATAATCTGCAGGGCAGCAGAGCCTGGATAGTCATGATTCTGCTAGGTAATGTAGCCATTAGCACACAGTGAGAGATTGTGGGCTGGGTAGGACAGGATGGGTGGGTGGGGGTCCCATGTACATGATGTGACACCCAAGAAAAGCTGGCAAATAACACAGTTTTATCGCTCCTCATCAACCACAGGACATGTGTGTGTGTATGTGTGTGTGCTTGGGAGTGTGGAGGTTTGTCAAGAGATCTGTGTGATTCTATTCAGGCTTATGTTTACTATTTACATGTTTGAAAATTGACAGTGTGAGTCGGTTTAGTTTGCTGGTTCTACTGGAATATCTGAACTAGCATCTGAATTAACAGGACACACTGTACATAATGTCCAGAAGTGAAACCGATACATTCATTCATTACAGAGATGGAGAAAAGAGAGTCTTTGACAATATGTCTCCTTATTAGTTTCTCTATTACAAGACCTGATGCTTGAGAGCCAGCAGTCAGACTTCAAATGAGAGAAGATCCTGCCCCAAAGCATGAATGCCTCTCTTTTCCACCCTTTAGTACTTCTTAGTTACCTCCCTATATCACCCTACATAAGGCAGCTTGCTCAGGCCATCCACCTCTTGACTGACAGCTGAGTGCTTTGGTTACTTGCATTTTAGAAATGTTTTTTATAAATTCAAAATTAATCTGACAGTATTACTTATAGGTCTTTGGATAATTAAAATATTTGTCATTTTAGATACAACTTTAGTTAGGCTAATTTGCCTAGGAATCAAGCTACAGTAGGAGCCTTGCAGAAGAAAAATTGCAATACTTGTCACGGATACAAACTGCAATTAAAATGCAGCTTTGTAAGAAGCTCACAACATAATATTTGATGTAATAGCAGGAAGTATGGTAACATTTTAGCCAACAGCACTTATAAACTACAGTATAAACAGTATTATCATACTGTATATGTTCATTTGTCTTCAGTGAAAGCACAGTTGTTCCTAAAGTTTCAACCATCGCTAACAGAACCCACCAGGTTAGATTACTGCTGCTTTACAACAAAAGTCACTCGTTCATTTCTGACTTTAATATATAGTTTATCACAGGTTATTAAATTAGTTGCTTGTACTGACAGGAAGTACAGAATTCAACAGTAGCCTTGTTTACAAGTGCTTTAAGTGTTTGCCTTCTGTGTTAAAAATGTAACTGTCAGTATAGGTTTATAAATAAATGTGTGCAAAAACAGTACATAGAATAAAACAAAGCAAGCCCAATTTTCACTGAAATAGAAAATTTATTGAATGAGGTTATTATTGAAGGTCTAAATTACAATAGAAACAATGATATTTTTCCTTAAATGGAAGAATTGTATTTTTCCTGTCTGCTTTGGATTCACGTCAGGAGAAATAAAATGATGCTTTGCAATAGGTTTGACAAAACAATTATGAATTATGAAAGCATTTCTTGTGGAATCCATTTTTTCTTGAATGTGATGTGAAGTCTAAACTCCAGTGTTTCATCAGTTGGAGGAGAAGAAAATAAAATAACAGTACAAAATTATTAGAATTAATAATACACATGGTGTATTTTATACATATAGGGAAGCTTGATTGCTTTCTTGTGAGACGCACAGTTGCTGCATAATTTCCTCAACAAATAAAGTGATACAATTAATATAGAGGGTTTAAGTGGAGACACTTATAAGAACGTTGTATTGTTTTGTAATATGTTTTAACGTGGACTGCAGTGGTGAACATACAGTGGAGTCACTCAGTACTCAATCTTGTTATACAGGTTGTATAAAGGTAACGCTGGCAGGTTGCTCCCCGGGTAATACAGGGGCGTTGGAAAGGCGATAGACCGGGGAACTGGCACTCGCAGTAAGGAGTTATCTCTGAAAACCAACGGCATCCCCACTAGTGTCTGTGCAGAAGCGTGTGCCATGTTGGCCGCCTCCAGTTCAGCTGAGAGCTGCCGTTTCCATTTGTTCCTCCTGTTCTGAAACCACGTCTTGACCTGAGTCTCCGTCAGCTGCAGGCTGGAGGCTAAGCAGGCCCGCTCCGAGCTGCTCAGGTACCGCTTCATGTCGAAGGTGGACTCCAACTGGAACACCTGGCTCCGGGAGAAAACCGTGCGCGTCTTCTTCTTGGTCGAGCTGCCCTGCTTGTCCGCACCGTCTGTTTGTCTCTCCTCTGACAAAGGTGACATTTGATGGCACGGTCTCTCCTGTTCCTCTTTATAATCCTGCAGCAAAGGCTGCGGCAGGTGCGGCCGCTGTGCGAGCCCTTCATTTACAGACAGAAGTCCTTTTGTGGGACCTAAATGCAGCAGGACAAGAGGTGAAGAATATCGTGAGCACAAGTGAATAAGCTGTATGTGTTTAATATGGTTTTTAAACAGGCTGTTGAAAATATATCATTTCACACTGTATTAGGTTTGAGAGCTCGTCAGGTGACTTTTAAAATAAACAGTTTAGTATGATGTGTACAGTAAGCTATTAATTTTATCCCGCTCTATTTAACGCTCAATTGACGACGTTTAGTACAGCCATTTTGGAAACATGTTTCATCAATTAGTAGGCTCAATTAAATTTGCAACGAGAGGAAGACAGACTATCCACTCCTCTACTGCTGCTGCAATGATAGTCCAGTCTGCACATAAACAAGTGCACGGGCTGCATGCGAGTGTCACAGACACAAACACTATAATGAAATGTGAACTAAAGTGCAAACAAAGCATAAAACAGAAGGCCTAGTTGTTGTTTTTTTTAAATAGCTAATTGGGCACATTTTTATAACAGCCTATAAACAATCTTAAAAGTGTCAGTAATTGTGTTAATTTTAAGGTAATATTTCTTCTTTTGGGCGACTGAAAATTTGTTTTGTTTTTCTTTTGTGTAATAATAATAACAATACAATGAATAATATTAGCAATAATAATTTCTTACCTAGACATGAAAAGGTATGGGCTTGGTGCTGGGTGCATGGCTCGCTGTGACCCGTGTCGGAGCAGAAGCAATCCGCTGAGTCCTCCCCGCCGCTGCACTCCTCTGAAGACACCGACAGCGAGAGCCGCCGCTGAGCGCCTCCGCGGAGGCGGCGGCCCCTTGGTGAGCTCCTTGGTCCCGGAGCGCGGCGCATCGGATGGCGTGCCTAAAATCGACTGGATAGTAAAGCTGGAAATCGGGCCGGACGAGCACTTGCTCCCGCTGTCTTCTGCGCTACTCATTCTCGCTTCATAACAGTATTAAAATATTGACTGAATCTGTCTGTCACCTTGTATTCCGTTATTGCTTTCTACACAGTTGGTGCGTAAAAATGACGAAAGCGTCTTTTGTCTTCTTATTTTACAGCTTGTTTAATTGTGGAGTTTTAACATCGAAGGAGTTGGAGGTGTTTTTCTGGAGCTCGGGGAACATGAGTGTATTCCTGGTCCTCCTCCTTACGCTCTGGATCAGAGGCAGCAAGGTTGCGTTGCTTCATTTGCATGTAGGTAAGCGCCCCCTGGGCCAATCGCAGCGTTCATCGTAAGCCCGGAAATTTCAAACCCCTGTCAATGTTTTGAGATAGGATGTGGAGAGCGAGAGAGCCGAGGAAGACCAACAGGTCTCATTCCTGCATTTAGTTACACTATATACCAGTTACAGTAATGATTATAGCCAGTATGGCTCTGAAGACGACCAGTTTACTTTCACTGCCATACAACAAACACATTGAGTTGTATAAAGTGTTTCAGATCAGAGGAGGATGAGGGGCGTGTGTGCGTGTGTACAGAACTAAATGTTATTCAAAGGCGTCAGTCTGTTGCACTAAAACGGCATATACCTTAAGAAAATATGATGAAGTTTATAAGAACTATTTTTAAGAATCAGTGCTTTTTTGCCATATGTGCTCGTTAGAATATAATACTAAATGTGCCATAGATTGATAACTTTTTTAAAATCGTATGTGTCTTGTTGGCAACATTTCTATTAACCTAAAATTGTACAAACCAGAAAAAGGCTCCGTCAGCTGTGGATGACCTCGTGCAAGATATTGGCTTATATTCTATTATACATGCTAAACTGGCTGAGGTGACGGTAACACGCATACAGCCTTGGAACTAATACAGATGCCTCACTCATTTTTCCTGAAAATAATAAACTCATTCCGCGTCCATTATCTGCGATTAAGAATTAATTTGATCATTACTGCGCTAATCTGACTCATGATGACCGCACGTGGAGTGGAGGCCGGCTAATTGATTGACTAATTGATTGGAGGTCGTGGGGGCTGACTGCGTGCGCGTGCGTGTGTGAGGTGTGTGAGAGGAGGGGGCGCGCTTTCAACCAGCCCCCTCCTCCCAAATTCACCGCCCATGCTTTGTGTGTGTATTTCACTGGTTGTGTCTGGCGGTTCGGGTGCAATAGCCGTCTGTTACTGCTTTGAAAGGGAGCCCCGGACACATTACAAATAGTCAGCTTTAGCCATCACGTGGACGATGCTGCTGCTGCTGCTGATGATGATGATGATGATGGTGATGCTGGTGGTGGTGATGCTGACAGCGGATTCTGTCATCATCACCATACCAGCCAGACAGACGCATCTGGATCCACGCGTAAATATAGTCAACTGGCAGCGAGGCCAACAGCTGCTAAACGATCTTAAGAAAACACTTAGGCAGGGCAGGCTTTCCTGACGGGGGGTGCAAATATATGAGGGCAGTCAGGGTGGATGCTGGATTTATGGTAGTTACACATAAGGCGTGAAATCTGCAGTGACAGTTAAAAAGCTTTAATTTATATTCCGTTCTTTTCAAACAAAGACCTTTGTCAGTGTAGCCGCCTTTATGACATTCTGACGACTCTTCCAAAGTGAGATTAGTTCAACACAGAGACAGTGGATATAACAGGCTGCTATTGTGCTACAGAGAATGAAATTCACACGTTGTATTTTGTCAGAGTCGGCGTTTATGGGCCAGATGTACAAGCCGAAAAGTGCAATCCCTTCTATTAGGATGGAAATGCTCATCGTTTGCCCAGGTTTCTGCGTTTCTCCGAGGCCTGGCGAGGCCCAAACAGCAAGGAGCGGGCCTAACTTTGTGCTCTATCACGATGATAGGTAGTGTATGGCCGCCCTACCGCAATAACAGAACAAGATCGTCAGCAGGAGAGAAAGGTCTGAGAAAGACAGATGAAGTTATGAGGCGCTTTGATCTGGGAATCAAGCTTCGATAAATATTAAACAAAGACTCTTTACGCGTGTGTATTATGATATATGGCGTGTCCAAGACTAGAATAAGGAAATTACCAGAGAAAATGATATCAATAAATTTTCTAAGTATAAACGTTGATTATGTTTCGATTTTCATTCAAGAAAGCGGGGCCTGCTCTTTTTTCAGGAGGCGTTTGTGTGCGTCCGTGTGCGCACATGCGTGTGTGTGAGAGAGAGAGAGGGGGGGGGGGGGGGGAGAAAGGAGGGAGAGAGAGTTGTAAACGCAAGCAGAGCGCCAAGCCCTGGAGGTGTACAATTTATGTAATCTGAGTGTGGAAATGAACTGGGTAATTTATTGGAAAACACAAAGTCAGGAAGATTGGATCAGTACAGCCTATCCAAGGGCTCCTATCCATCAAGTTCCAATTAACAACCTAACCATTGAGTTTTAATGGCTTTCCAATCTACTGCCCTGATAGACTCATCAATTCCTCGGGGAGAAATTAAGAAAATCGACCGCCCCTCGGCGTTTCGGTGTCATTCTTCACAGCAACTATATGTCAAATTAAAAACACAATTAAAATTTAAACTGTTCCAATCAGACGGTGCCCCGCAACCTATGTTTCACTTAATAGAACTTTGATGAAAATCTGATGCTCGCATTCAATCAGAAAAGTAAATGGGATGGGTTTAAAACAAGATTTTCTCTTCAGAAGTGTCAAAAGAGTTGTTCAAACATAAGAGATTTGCTTGAACTTTTTTATATACACATTCACTTTCTGCCCATTTTGCCCCAGTGAGCCATCAAGGAGGAGGTTTGTTATTGATATGATGTGTTAAAGATATTGGCGACGTCATAGCTGAGGGTGTAAAAGTAACATTAAAGCTTATATGTATTCCTATATCATTCTCTTGTTGCTGCACCTGAAATATCCATGGATTCACACGATTTCTATCTTGGCAGGAACCCCCTCTGCCAACCCCTCTTGGACCTCAAAGAGCCTCATTTCAAAAGCCAAATGGTTCTTGAGACTTCCTTAATGACAAAACCTCTTTGGCGCTCGAAATAAATGCTTTAACCTCTGTATGCAAGTCCCGCTTTAACAAAAATGTGATAATCAAACACACATGATTATGCCAGCTGTTGCATAGAAGAGGCTGGCATTACGCAAGGCGGTCGGGCCACTCGTGTGTTTTTCAAACTCGCACTAAAACCTATGATATGGCTTAAAATGTCCCACGCCGCTCTCCGTTTTAATGTAATACACTGAGCTCAGTCCCTGGTCACGTCCGTTTGCCCCCGTTCTTGCAAATGTACTTTTATCTGATTTTGGCCCCGCTCCCATTTCTCCTTTACATAAAGATGTCGCACAAATGGAAATTATTGAATGGTAATTTTTTTCAATTTATGGGCGCAAATCAAGGTCATAAGCTGATCTGAAGCCAGCGTTGCTCTTTACTTGACGCATTATGCTGCAGACGTTAGCAGATCAATATGTGCCAGAGGAATAATGCCATAGCAATCTATTAATTTGCAGTAATGGGGCCGTGTTGAGTGTGCAGGGTAGGTCAATACTTGGATGATCAGATGATATTTGGATGAACCCTTTGTTTCTTGATGTGATCATCATATGAAGTTTTAAGCTGACTGACTCGTTTCCAATAACTGTATTAGCGTACACATGGGAATAGAAATGACCTTTGTTGTTCTGAATGAGAAATGCATGTGTCTCACAGTTGGATTTTTAATTTGAATTTCAACTGTTTCATGGTAACATCTCAATGCAGTGGTGTGCAGTTTGTTATTAGATGTTTTTGTGCCCTAGTATACTGCAGGGTGAACCTACAGTGGCTCCTAAAACTGGCTTCTAAATGATGACGCTATCTGCCTGAGCCAAACGCACAGTTCATATAAGAAATGAATCAAGCTTCGTTGTGCATTGGCGTTTTAATTAAAGGGACCCTGCAGATCCTACAACCTGTCACCTGATTACAGTCTGGAGGTGAATTCTAGTCAAATTCAAAAGCATAAAAATGACCTAACCAGCTTTAAAAAACTTATTTATTACTGTTATTAAAATATTGCTTAATTTTTATTGTGCGTGGGCCCAACTCAACTGCCTCAAAGGTGTGTTCCGTTCCTTCCACACACAGCCTCCTCCCCAAACATCTGCACTGTAACTTCAGTACAATAGCTGCATCCAGTTGTGTACAAAATAAAATGCGGTAGTCCATAAGATAAATACTGTAACGTCAGGGTCATGGTCAGTCTCAGTGGGATGTCCAACCCGAATCCTGCCAAAATACTTCCATCAATGTGATTCTGAACGTTTTTTAATGTGCCACAGATTAAATAGCACTTTCACAGCATATAGCCTGCGTACGTTTAGTGCAGTTCTCTTAAATTCGGTTGATTTTTCTCAAATCAACAATATCTTAAGACAAGTTCGAAGGCAAATTGAATATCTCCACATTCGTTCAGAAATTCTTCTTATAAGCATATTATTAAATCCAGTTAATGTGCATGAACTCACGCACGATTATCATACAGTATTTCTTTTGTTTGTTTGTTTTTTTAAATACCCCTAAACTTTATTATTTAATCAGATGGTGCATGTTGTCAATGAGACAGTCGCATCAAGTGTCGGTGACACGTGTTGGACTGCATGTGTTACAAAGTGGAACAACTTAAAAAAAATAATCCATTCATTTAGGGTGCTATAGGGCATGGGCTTTAACTGTGGAGACGAGGCTGAGGTGTTATTTACGCATTTAAAAAAAAGAGTTTCCTCCTTTTTTCACCACTGGCCAACCGCCAACTTCACTGCTTAAATATCAGTGGCATCACGAGTGTTGTAAATAGAACCGTTTTCTTAAAAGTGATCAAAAATAAGGTTCAGAAACATCTCAAGTGTGCAAAATAACAGAAAAATAAAATAACAGTAATTAAGAATGCAAAAAAATGTAAGGTTGAGCCATTTGCCATAGCCTGACATACGTCCACCTCACACTGAATACACACACACACACACACACACACAGGGCCACGAGAGAGAGAGAATGCTAAAAGACAGCAGCTCATAATGCCCTTCTCTGAATATATTACCCATAATTTTGGCAAGATGGTGGCAATTACCCATCTAATCGGCCAAGCCGCTTTTTTATGTAAAATGACGTTTTTTTTAAAGTGCATAACAGTAAGATGATTACGGAAACCCACCTGCCCAAGTGCCAAGTGTCTGTGCGCTTGTGCGCGCATGTGGAAGATACAGGATTAAACGTTGATTTGAGTTATCGCCATCTTAATAATATGTACGTTTCATAGTGTGTAGATATTTAGTGAGTAAGGAAAAAAAAGTGTTAGAGAATGGCCCCATTTAATTTCTTCAGGACTAATCTAACGCACTACTGGATACAGAAAGGAAGTCATACAAAAAATATCCTAAAACGCAAGGAATAATCTCCATTTATTTCACAACATGGTTCAGCAATACAATATCAAAACGTTGTTTTTACTGTACAAAGAAGAACAAAGTAGATTAAGAAACACTGGAGCTCACACTTGTGCTTGAAGGATGTGTCCATGTGGTGGGAACACGAGTGAGAATCACCAAAACTAAACATAAAGCTACAAGGGTATTTTACAGTTGACAGTGTCTTGATTGTCCCCCGTCACGCGCTTTATAGCAAAAAAAAAGGGAACTATTACAACAAAGCGTCATCAGTCCACCGTGAATGGATGACAGAACTAAACAGGTTTCCCAGTGAGTCAATTCATTTACTCAAGCACGCCAGTGTATTGCACATCAATGTGTTATCAGTTTTGGAAATGTAAATTAAATCAAATAAGTGTGATGGCTGATACGCAGACCTGCGCCTTTTGGCCGCTCTTTTTTTTTTTGTAAACAAGGTCAGTCCAGTAGTAGTTAGGGTGTAGAAACCGGAGAGAAACTAAAATAAAATAGAATAAAATGAGATAAAGTGAAATAACATGAAATAAAATAGAACATTCTTTAGGCAGTATAAGCAGGAGGACTCCTGAGGTGATGATTTCATATTATAATAATAATAATATGGGGCTTGAATTGTTGGATCATGTGTAAACGGCATCCTTATGGAAAATGACACAATATAATTTTGCCAAAATAGGTCCACATAGGCCTGACAGTGTCTCTTTCATTTTTTTCTTCATTATGTCAGTTGTATAAAAATATTTTCTTTTTTACTTGACTTTGGAAAGAAACACCAACTTGTACCCCAAAGCTTAGGTATTTTCAAACCGGTCTGAGCAGCGGCACAGGTGTGACGATGGAATGGGAGTAGTAGACCCCTGGGTGCGGGAAGGTGAGCAGCGGCTGGCTCACGGGCACGTTGGCAGCGGCGCCTCCGCTCTCAGAGGCCGAGTTCTCGTGGTAGAGGATGGGCACTCGGACTATCCTCTGCGCCGCGGCGTGGCTCAGGTTGGCAGCCTCCAGCTCCGCGGCTAGCTGTCTTTTCCACTTGTTCCTCCTGTTCTGGAACCAGATCTTCACTTGAGTTTCCGTCAGGTGAAGGGACGCGGCCAGGCCGGCCCGCTCCGAGCTGCTCAGGTACCGCTTCATGTCGAAGGTGGACTCCAACTGGAACACCTGGCTCCGGGAGAAAACCGTGCGCGTCTTCTTCTTGCGGCAGGGCTTCTTGTCCTCGTCTCTCTTCTTCCACTCTTCCAGATCGTCTTTTTTGGTTTCTTCTGCGTCGCTCTCCTCCAGGATTATCTCGTCGCCACTTTTGTTATTATTGTGTTCATCAAATTCGTCGTCGTCTTTGAGGTCTGGTTCGGATTTGAGTACCAGGTCCGGAGAGTCTCTGTCCGTGCCCGAGGTAGGAGAGGAGTCTCGGGCTCCTGCTTTCTCGGTGACTGAAATGTAGACACAGGGAGACGTGGTCAGAAATACTGCGGCCTGATAGGTCTGGGCTTTTATTACAGCCTGTTGCTACAGGACAGCCTTTTGGTTTTTGGGCAAAGTTAAACTGTTCTAAATGTGCCACAAAAAAATAAACATGAACAGTTTTTAGAGTTTAGCACGACTGACAACATTCTGTTCAAATATATTAAAATTAGTTTGCCCTATAACAGCACTTTTAATAGACCAAATATATAAAATATTATAGGCTTGCTTTATTTCTTGGTTTATAAAATTAGCCTAAATTTGGGTTTTACAACAGCTCTCATAATTAAACATAAAGACATGGTAGTGGCAGTCATAGCAGCGTGTTTTAAATCCCACTTGCATGAGTCTCACAAAGGCAGGTAAAAAGTGTCAGTGACAGAGCCTCTGGGGTAAGAGGTTCATAGTGAGCACCAATATACAAATCAAAAGCACGCTGCGCATCGTCACCCTCATCCGATGATTTGATGATGTCTACTTCATTTTATGCTCAGTGTGTCACTTTATTGATCTATTATCCCGCGTCCTGTCATAACAAAATAGGCCTTCACAGGAGACAAGGCGGCAAATCACTATACACTGAGATGTGAGAATGAATGCATATTACTTCCGATCACCTTCACCATAACACGCAAACTCCACTTTTATCGATTATGTCATAACATGCACAGGGGACATGTTCCTGAAAGCTCCTATAATGTGATGGTTATTACAAAAATAATGAAGTTTTTCTCTTTTATTTTAACGATTAAGAGGAAAAACTCCAACATCAAGATGGAAAGCAGAGACTAAATGCGTGATAACTGGTTTTATACTGGTTGTATCTATAGGCATGATAGTTTTTTTTATTTCTGTCTGCCCGCCTTACCTTCAGTTTTGTGTAGGTGGGCGGATGAGCTGAGGGTGTATGGGTACCACCACGCCGAGGTGCGCTCCAAGTAGTGAGCCGGTAGACTGAACCTCTGTGCGGGCAGGTCAAAGCGTGGAAAGTTGAAGTCCCCGACTTGGGAAAGAGAAAATCCTCCCTCTAAGGCCGCCTTGGTGGCAGCCAGTACGGGCTTGGGTTTGGACGGTTTGCTGTCACAGTTCAGCAGATTCTTAATGAAGAAAGGAGAGTCCTTGGCCGAAGCGCACGTCTCTGGCGTTGTCTCTGGCATCGTTGTGGTCTGAACGCAGAGGACCACGGAAGCAGGAATTAAAAAGACAAAACTGACTTAGGGACTGTCGATAACCTGGCCTTATGAGGTTCCTGTTTTATTCTCCTCGGTAATTTAAAGCGGAGGGATTTCACACCAGGGGAGCGCGTCAAAACACACGTCCTTCTAAGCTAGAAAAATAATAAAAACGTTTGAGAGGTAGAAAAACACGTATAATCATCGAGATGTCTCATTCCGAGCTCTTTCGTCAAAACGCAAACTGTGTCCACCGTGTCTGTCAGTCTGGTGTCTGATGCTAATGATGAAATAAAAATGTCATCCAAGTTAAATGCGGAAAGTATAGGCGATTGGGCATGTACAATGGCAAATGGGATTACGGGAGAGACGGTGAGAGAGAGAGAGAGAGAGAGAGAGAGGGAGGGAGAGAGAGGTGATCCTCCTTTCTCTGTGCTCTGGCTGCAGGCTGTGTGTGCTCGCCTGTTATTGGTCTCATATAGTCCAATTAGGCAGCAAATGAACACAGGGCTCTTAGCACCAAAAAGGAAGGCTTGGGATAAGCGACGTCACAACACACAACTAACATTACACTCAGACACGACATGCATCGGTTGTGTGAGGTTACAATCCAGTGTTTTTTCATGGTTAGTGCTACATTTTTGAACCACTTTCACTGGACTAGGAGCTAACCTTCCAAAAACCATCATCAAAAGCTGTGCTGCCTATCTTCAGGACTTTTAAAACAAATAATAACAGCATGTAGTCCTGTGCCTAAAGTTTGCATTGCTTATCCAAAGCCTAAATGTCATGCTTTTATACACTGAGTAATTTCAAACGGATTACAAAATAAAATAAAAAAATCCTATTATGTGTGTGAGAGAGATGAACGAGCCAGCCATGTAACAGGCTATTCATCAGCACAAAGCACCTCTACCGTCATGCAAACTCATAAAATACAAATAAACAAATGGTGCAAAAGAAGTATCAGCATCACTTTTTGAATCAGTACGTTGCCATCTTTAGCGCAGAATCATTGAAACGTTTTATCCTAAGTTGACATTATAAAAAGTGAAATAGGCTATAAGTAAGGTTGTGTCGTCACCATGCCAGCACCACTAGGTTACTAGTCAAAACAAAACATGAAACAGGCCTGAGATCAGGCTGCATTCTGCTCGACGTGTCACCAATGGGGGATTAGATTCATATTTCTCATTCAGTGATTTTCAGCAAGGGTCACTTGCAAAAAGTCTGTGGGTCGCACAGTAATTTATTCCTCCCCAATCGATTTGGTTAATTCATTCCTCTGATTGCGCTCTTTGTAAATGTGCTATGTATATTCACTCATTGATATTAATTGACTTGTTAAAAAGCAGTCCATTGTTTGGAAGCTGTTGTAGAAGAACGAGGAGACAGCGCCCTCTATGGGCCATGAGGATGAAATGCAACCGTGTGGAAAGTGTTGGTGCTTGTTCATGTTGTGGGACAGAAATGCATTTGGAGACAAAAAGAAATACATTTTAGGTCAAACTTTTAGGCATGTATAGTGTTTCTGGTAAAATTTAGGCTAAAGTCTTTACAGGGAATTAAAGTAAGTCAAAGCACTGTCTTCAAACCTCAGTTAGTGAGCTGTTCAAGTGCTGATGTCCTCTTACTGTAATATAAATACGTTTCCTCACCTCAGTCACTGTGTCCTATATTGCACGGCACTGAGGGGCAAAATGTGTATTTCTGGTGAGGAACTTTTATTTCTACAAAATCCAGAGAATTTGCATTAGTCCAATATTTGTGAATATTTGAAAATGTTTGAAACATAGACAAACAGAATAAAAACTTGTATTATTCTATTACTTTACTACAGAGTACTCCTGAATCAGGTGCCAGTTATGTTTAAATCCTTTAAAGCAATTTGCATATTGCCACTGTGACCACCAGAGCTCTGTTCACACTGGTGTAGCATTAAAACAACAGAGCCTAACTTTGGCAAATAAAAGCTGTCAGAAACACATCCTGGTTGAAGTTTCACCCATGTCTTTGCAGTATGTATATTATTTATATACCCCACAACACTATGGAAAACTGAAAAGAAATTGCAGCTAACTATTCTTGTTGTCAACGTTATATTTTCGATCACAAAATAACATTTATTTATAAGAGATTCACTTGAACAGAACTTGTAGAAGTCAAGAAAAAAATTACAATTGAACATCATAAGGTCATAAAAAATTAGAAATTCTTGTCCACGGTGAAAGAACCACCTGGTATAACTGAGTATTTACTTCATAATATAAATGGTGTTAGTATCATTGGTAGCTTCAGCACAATTTACTGAACCTTCACTAACCCCATACACACAGGGCTGAATATCTGTCAACAAAGCAGCTGATGACACATCTTCTATCATGCTCCTATCTTAAAAAATACATGTGCTTCTTGTCAAAGGTAAATAGACTTGTTCGAGGTTACTGTGAATAATTTTAAACATTTAAGTCGCAATATTTCAAAAGGAACAAAGGTGGGCTCAGGTGGATAATGTAGGACATTAAACACAAAGAAGATGACGACCAATGAACATGAGATAAATATAAATATAATAAGCTGTTCGGTGTGCAGATAAAACCGCTCTCTCTGTTTAATTTGAGCCTTGGACATATGTGAATCTTATAGGTATTTAATATTTTGACCTGACTATGTTTGAATAGTCAAATAAAGATTTCTGGAGAGCACAGAAATATTTACACTCTAAATAGTACTGCTATAATGGCAGTTCAACATGATTAAATGGGGATTAAAAAGATAAGAACACATCAGATAATAAACAGTACAAACTAAGATCCTGTAGTGTGTACTTTAAAAATAGGCATTGATTAGAAACACACAGTAGACATTGCCCACAGGCCATATAAGCCTTCTGATTGCTCCATAAGTCTATTTTTGTTGCTCCTCCGGTAGGTTACTATGACTTTTATATTATTTATTTCAAAGCACCCAGATATTGATTATTTCACAAGGAAAAATGACAAATGGCAGGAGGGAATGACACGGTCAGCAAGTTCTATTAGAGAAATGATAGTGTTGCTCATGGTTTGTTAAAGGTCCAGTTTAGATACTTTATAGATTTACATCCATCATCGTCTAATGACCCATTTGATGAAAAAAAAAAGTGCTCTGGTGACAACGGCTCTGTGCAGCCAACTTCACTTTGTAATTGCTCCCATATTAAATATAGATTTTTGTTTTGATATCTTGTGAGAATTTTTTTCTGTGGGTCAAAATTGTGATAAAAGTCATAGATGCAATGGCAAAAACCCAGAGGGAGAAAACTGAAAAAAGAATGGGGGAAATAGGTGGGTATGAGATTTTAAAGGTGGAAGTGCGAGTCTTTGCAGTGGTTGAGGATGCAGCCTTTCCAGATTCTTTACTTAAGTAAAACTGGTACTACAGCATATAAATAAAGATATCAAAATTAAAAAGTTCTGCTAATGCAGAAAAATTGCAATATATTATATTATTGTTCATTCATGAATATGTAAGTAACATTTTACTTATAGTAAAATTAAAGTTCTGAAAGCATAGAATTGGTCCCTGTCAGGTTTATACCACCATATATGATATCGATACATTATTATTGCTAATGCATTTATGTTTTAGCAGGATTTTACTGTTGGTCAAGATGAAGCTAATTTAAAAAATATGATGTAATAGTTTTATTTCTAACAGTGTATCATATTTTATAATAGTAAATCATGTTTTTAATATAAAATTTTAATCTATAAAGTAACTAGCAACTAATGTCAGATAAATGTAGTGGTGTAAAAAGTATAATATGTGCTTCTGAAATGTAATGTGTAGTAGAATGAAATGGAAATACTCAAGTAAATTACAAGTACTTCAAAACTGTACATCAGTAAATGTACTTAGTGACTTTCCACCACTGGTTCTGAGTCTTTGTGCGTTAGGAATCAGTGAAACTCAATAAAAAATATAATTTATCTCTCTTTCAGTAACAATATTGATGCTTTGTTGTTTTACTGTACTTTGTTATGGCCGCCTAAACAATCTAATGGAATGAAATGACTTAGGTAAACACGGGTGTCATCTGATGAAACACTATCCATGCATGTAACCTTTCTGAGTATGTAGTTTTACTTTGGTGTGAGGAACTGAAGCAGAGAGTTTGCACAGAACCCTGTTGGACAACAAGATCTGTTGGTGTCAGGCTGCATCCACACAGCATATCTCACTGAACTCTGTCCAGCCTGTGTCCTTCTTGCACTTTTAACTGGACACTTCTGTTGGGATGAGCCATTAAACCAATGAAGGCCACACTAAGATTGCTTAGATTATAGTATTGCATTTAACTTGTAAAGGAACTGGTGGCCATCCACTGACCCGGCAAGCTTTAATTGGGATTGTGGAGGTATTGATCGCAAGTGGCCAGGCGAATCTTGAATTACAGCCTGATTAGCTTTTACTCGGCCCCTTGCACCGGCCAATCGAAGGAGCTCAATGTCATTCAGGTTGGAGCACTTCAGCAGCCACTTGACTAGAAGGAGTCTTGTTACTTTCTGTGTAAACAGGAAACATGTATTCAACATGAGGATACCAACTCTCCTGACAAATGTACAGCAGTCACATGGGGCTGTATTATTCTCTTAATGTATGATTTATCACTTTTAGAAGTCATTTGAAAGCAAGTAGCCTAGCATGTACCTGAAACGGGCACATAGATGATGTATTCTCATCTTTTTGAATGCTCTAATTGTATCTACATTCGATCACTTCTTTTCTTTTTTTGGTCCTCAGCAGGGATGATGACCTCTGTAAGGTTTGGATGGAAACAGTCATAGGAGCAATGTTGCCTTTTTCTCTATTATGAACAGCTTCATCCAAGTCCTCCAGGCAGCCAGGCTCAATATAAACCCTCTGCACTTCCAAAAACTCTGCCCTGGATCGTCAGCTTTTACCCAGCCTGCCTGTATATGTCATTACAACTCGGTAATCTGGAGAGGGCAACAGAAAAGTTCTCATCAGTGTCAACCTGAGATATAGATATGGGCTGGGTAACAAATGGCCAAATGCACAGGCAGCAGAGCAGACCATCAATAAAACAATTTCTTGTGTCATAACAGCCACGCTTTTCCTAAAGCCAACCTTTCAAAACTTTTCCCTCTGCAAATCGCTGCAACCCCACCATTAGAGTCCTGCCTTGTGAATTTAATGGATTCCGTACAAATAATATTCCACCATAATGGAAAAGGTTGAAGTCACTGAAGACAGATGAAGTCATAAACACGTATAATTGAGAATCAAAGACCGATAAATTTTAAACTGCTATCCATTTTCTCTTTTTAGATGATGATCTATGTCAGTGC